TTTTGCCTGTCACATGCACCCCGACCAGGGATCAAACCCAAAACGTTAGTATGGGCCCTGCAGGGGAATCGAACCCACAACATTTTGGTGTTCGGGATGATGCTCCAACCAGCTGAGCCACCTGGCCAGTGGTATGTTACATTCTTAATGAGAGGTGTTATATTTATGGAACATAAGACTATATGATTCCTTTCAACAGTTCCCTGGTGAAATTCGCCATATTTGATTGAACATATTAAAAGAAGTTATTTAAAAATCCATGTTTGGCCAAAACCGGTTTGGCTCAATGGATAGAGCGTCGGCTTGCAGACTGAAGGGTCCCAGGTTCGATTCCGGTCAAGGGCATGTACCTGGGTTGCGGGCACATCCCCAGTAGGAGATGTGCAGGAGGCAGCTGATCGATGTTTCTCTCTCATCGATGTTTCTGACTCTCTATCTCTCTCCCTTCCTCTCTGTAAAAAATCAATAAAATATATTTTTTTAAAAAATCCATGTTTGGTAACTCCAATATCTGGACCATCTGGGGGTCAGTTTCTATCATCTGTCTCTTTGTTCTGGGTCAAGTTCTTATGTCTGCTAATGACACAGTTGAGCATTGGTTCTGGATTTCTGATGGTGACATAAAACTTGAGATATCATGGATCATAAGTATCCAGTATCTGGAATGTAAAGTCTAGAAAAAAAATTTGGGTAAATATACACTTGTTTGAGTAAACCATTCAAGCAAGCAAACCTAACAACCACTGAAGCACCAGAGAAATATGGGGTGGTGTCCAAAGTGTACTGTATCTTAAAAACATAACATCCCAAATCCTGTTATATGTTCCCCCGCTTTTCACCCACACCCGTTTCTCGTGAATCTTTAGAAATTAAAATCAAGATTTCCTTTTCTCATTCTGTTTGTTTCAGTCACAAAATAAGACAGAAACTGCTTTAGCCAATTTGGTTCAGTGGATAGAGCATCAGCCTGTGGACCAAAGGGTCCCGGGTTCGATTCCGGTCAAGGGCACATACCTCGGTTGCAGGCTCCTCCCCGGCCTGGGCCCTGGTTGGGGCTCAGGCAGAAGGCAACCAATTGATGTGTTTCTCTCACATCTATGTTTCTCTCTGTCTTTCCCTCTCCCTTCCACTCTTCCTAAAAATCAATGGAAAAATATCCTCTGGTGAGGATAAACAACAACAACAACAAAAATAAGACAGAAACTTTACACAACTAATGCTAACCGGCACAGAGAAAGTCATAAATGATAAGATAAACACTTTAGCCCATTACTGCTTGAAAAGTGAAGCTTAGCAGAGCTCAGGAGCCAACTGCAAAAATCTTGCAAATTGCACACTGCATGATTTTATGTATTTATAATAAGTGATCATTTCCTTGAATTAAGGTTTCTTATAAAAATGCTTTTCCTATTACAATTTGTTATGATTAGTGGGGTTTGGGCTCAGTAAAATTTTCAAGTAGTTATCCTATTTAAAAAAATACATTATTATGGATGTCAGAGAGGAAGGGAGAGGGAAAGCAAAATAGAAACATCAGTGATGAGAGAGAATCAGTGATCGGCTGCTTCCTGCATGCCCCACACTGGGGATTGAGCCTCAACCTGGGAATCAATCATGACCTCCTGGTTCATATGTCAGTGCTGAACCACTGAGCCACACTGGCCAGGCTGTAGTTATCCTATTTAGAATGGTTTTTCCTTTCCATCAAATTAGACATTTCCGCCCTGACCAGTTTGGCTCAGTGGATAGAGCGTCGGCCTGAGGATGGAAGGGTCCCGGGTGTGATTCCGGTCAAGGGCATGTACCTTGGTTGCAGGCACATCCCCAGTGGGGGTTGTGCAGGAGGCAGCTGATCAATGTTTCTTTATCCTGTGTAGATTTTAGTGAAACTAAAGGTTCTGACCAACTTATTGTACCACTCTTATAGGCTTACTCTGTGGAGCATTCTCTTAAGAACTGTGACATTTTGAACTCTGCCAAAACACAGGCCACATTATGAACTCTGTGATGAACCAGAAGACAGGAACTCTTACTAAGCCCTTATCACATGCAAAACATGTGTAGGGTTTCCTTGCAGTAAGGAGTGTCGAATGAACTTGAAGACGTGAGGTCTGACTGAACTTCTTACCATAGGCTACATTTACAGGGTTTCTCATCCTTGTGGGTCCTCTGATGAACATGAAGGTAAGAGTTCCACATGAGGCTGTTCCCACACTCTTAACATGTATAGGATTGCTCCCCAGTGTGTACTCACTGATGAGATTGAAGATTTGAACTCTAACTGACGCTCTTCCCACACAAAGCACATTTGTAGAGTTTCTCCCCTGTGTGGACTCGCTAATCATCTTGAAGACTTGTGGTATAGCTGAAGCTCCTATCACATACAGCACATTTGTAGTATTTCTCTCCTGTGTAGATCTCTGATGAACATGACAATACCAAGATCTGCAGGGTTTCTCTGCAGTGTGGACTCACTGATAAGCTTGAAGACTTGTGGTCTTACTGAGGCTCTTACCACACACAGCACATATGTAGGGTTTCTCTCTTGGGTGTACTCACTGATAGGCTTGAAGATGTGAACTCCAACTTAAGTCCTTCTCACACGCAGCACATTTGTAGGGTTTCTCTCCAGTGTGGATTCATGGATATTCCTGAAGACGTGAACAGTGATCAAAGCCCTTACCACATGTCCACATTTGTATGTCTTGTCTCCTGTATGAATTTTCTGATGGATCTGAAGGTGGAGAAATGGGAATGAAGCTCTTACCACATCTCTCATATCTGTATGGCTTGAAGATGTGAGGTTTAACTCAAGCTCTTACCAAACACACCACATATATAGGGTTTCTCTCCTGTGTAGATCCTCTGATGAACAGGAAGACAGGAGCTCCACAAGAAGCCTTTCCCACACACAGGTTATTTGTAGGGTTTCTCTCCACTGAGGACTTATTGATGGGCTTGAAGATGAGAACTCTGAGTGAAGCTCTTTCCTCACATGTCACATTTGTATGGCTTCTCTCCCCTGTGGATCGTCTATTGAACTTGAAACACAAGTTCCACATGAAGCCTTTCCCACATGCTTAACAACTGTAGGGTTACTCCCCAGTGTGGACTCAGTATGGTCTTGAAGGCTTGAAGTATGGTTGAGGCTCTTACCACACACAGCACATCTGTAGTGTTTCTCTATGTGTGGACTCACTGATGGGCCTGAAGATTCGAGTTCTGACTGAAGCTCCTCTCACACACCACATTTATAGGATTTCTCTCCTGTGTGTATCCTCTGATGAACATGAAGATTCAAGCTCCACATGAATCTCCCACACTCTTTACATTTGTAAGGTTTCTCTCCTGTGTTAACTCTCTGATGAATTTGCACATGGGAGCTTTGAATGTCTCCCCACACATTACATATATGGGGTTTTGCTCCTAGGAGACAATGCTGATGAAGTTCAAGATTGGGCCCACAACCTGGCATGTGCCCTGACTGGGAACCGAACCCATGACCTCCTTTCATGGGCTGATGCTCAGCTATTCTCTCTCCTTTTAGAGTTTTAAAAATAATTAGCCTATTTAATATACTTGAAATTACACAGAAAGCTTTCCCAAATCAAAATGAATACTAATAGTAATAATATCATATTTATGTACACATATTTTTCAAAAAATGGATATTCTAAATATTTCACTCTGCCCTAGGGAAAAACTTGCAAACATTTAAAGCCAAGTTCAAACAGGCAACTCCCAGGAATAGCAAGTGTCCTGTCAGTGGCACAGGGAAAGCCGAGAGCAATGGTTCTCTATGGGGGCATCTGGCAGTGGTACTCTGGATATTTGTGATCCACACATTGGAAATAAATTATTTCCAATGCTCAATACACACTTCTAATAAGCCATGTGTAACTTATTTACAAAAAAATTGTTGGCTTTGACTATTGTTTCTTACAAAAACAGTGTTGTTGTTTTTTATCAATTGCATTGAAATCAAATTTATTTATTTATTTATTTATTTATTTATTTTTAAATATATTTTATTGATTTTCTACAGAGAGAAAGGGAGAGGGACAGAGAGCCAGAAACATCGATGAGAGAGAAACATCAATCAGCTGCCTCCTGCACACCCCCCACTGGGGATGTGCCCGCAACCAAGGCACATGCCCCCGACCGGAATCGAACCTGGGACCCTTCAGTCCACAGGCCGATGCTCTATCCACTGAGCCAAACCGGTCAGGGCGAAATCAAATTTATTACCACACCATTTTGTTTTGTCATTTATAGTCACTTTATTTTATACAATTACAAATATATCTTTAGAAAAATCCATAAAAAAGACTCTGACTTACTCTAAATTACAGGTTTCCAAAGAGATCATATCTTTAAATTAGATAAAAATGTATAAAATTCTGAAGACTTCTAAGACCATAACTTACAACCTGGAGATTTTTGTCCAATGGTAAAGACATTAATTAAAGACTCTCTACAACAGTGTTGGAAGATACCTTACCTAATCAGGTGCCTAACCATGAATGGACATCTGACCCTGACTCTGACACTTACCTCTATCTACAGTGGAGATCAAAGACTTTTCAAGAATAAAAAGCCCAAACATCAGAAATAGACAGCCATCCTGAGATATCAACAAGGCCTATAGACCTACAAATTAATGTTACTACTACTATTAGTAATAATAATAATAATAATAATAATAATACTTGTTCTTTAGGCTTTTCTCAAACCCTATACAATGTAAATGTAACCCAACTGTTAATAATTACTGAATGTGTATAACATCTACCTGCATGATAAATAATAATCTTTTTATGGTATCACTTTTAAAATTTATTTTAAAATGCTGTTATAAAAAGTTAAGTAAAAAGAAATATTAAGCCCAGCAGGTGTGGCTCCATGGCGGAATGTCAACCTATGAACCAGGAGGTCACGGATCGATTCCTGGTCAGGGCACATGCCCGGATTTCAGGCTTCATCCCTAGTGGGTGGTGTGCAGGAGGCGGGCAATTGATGATTCTCTCTCATCACTGATATTCCTTTCTATCCCTCTCCCTTCCTCTCTGAAGTCAATAAAAATATTTTTTTAAAGAAATATTAAACCAGGCCTGTGTAGCTCAGGGGACTGAGTGTTGTCCTATGCACCAATAGGTCGCTGATTTGATTCCTGGTCAGGGCACATGCCTGGGTTTTGGGCTTAATCCCCAGTAAAGTGTGTGCAGGAGGCAGCCAATCAATGTTTCTCTCTCATTGATATTTCTATCACTCCATTTCCCTTCCCCTCTCTCTCTAAAATCAATAAAAAATATTTTTAAAAGAGAAATATTAAGAAAGGAATTTTATATTTAAACACAAAAAAACTAACTATGAAACATATCTCACATTTGTATAACTTCTATCTTGTGTGGACTCTCTGATGAGCTTGAAGACTTGAGTTCTGACTGAAGTTTTTACCACACATGTCACATTTATAGGGTTTCTGTCCTGAGTGGATCCTCTGTTGAACATGAAGATACGAGCTCCACATGAAGCCTTTCTCACACACAGCACATTTGTAGGGTTTCTCTCTACTGTGAACTCACTGATGAACTTGCAGAAGTGAAGTCTGATTGAAGCTCTTCCCACACACGCTACATTTGTAGGGTTTCTCTCCTGTGTGGATCCTCTGATGAACATGAAGACTTGAGGTCACCATAAAGCCTTTACCACACTGTTCACATTTGTAGGGTTTCTCGCCAGTGTGGACACGTTGATGGTATTGAAGACTTGAGGTCTGACTGAAGCTCTTACCACACACAGCACAACTGTAGGGCTTCTCTCCTGTGTGGAATCGCTGATGGCCTTGAAGATGTGAACTCCGACTGAAGCTCTTACCACACACAGCACATTGGTAGGGTTTCTCTCCAGTGTGGATTCGCTGATGGGCTTGAAGATGTGAACTCTGACTGAAGCTCTTTCCACACACCCCACATTTGTAAGGTTTCTCTTCTGTGTGGATCCTCTCATGAACATGAAGATATGAGCTCCACATGAAGCCTTTCCCACACACAGTACATTTGTAGGGTTTCTCTCCAGTGTGGACTCGCCGATGAACTTGCAAATGTGACTTCTGACTAAAGCTCTTACCACACACAGTGCATTTGTAGGGTTTCTCTCCCGTGTGGATTCGCTGATGGGCTTGAAGACTTGAGGTCTGACTAAAGCTCTTACTACACACAGAACATCTGTAGGGTTTGTCTCCAGTGTGGACTTGTTGATGTTCTTGAAGATGTGAACTATGAGTAAAGCCCGTACCACATGCCTCACATTTGTAAGGCTTCTCTACAGTGTGGATTCGCTGATGGGCATGAAGCTGTGAACTCAGTCTGAAGCCCTTTTCACACACAGCACATTTGTAGGGTTTCTCTCTAGTGTGGACTCGGTGATGAACTTGAAGATGTGAACTTCGACTGAAGCCTTTCCCACACACAGCACATTTGTAGGGTTTCTCTCCAGAGTGGAACCTCTGATGACCATGAAGATATGAGCTACACATGCAGCCTTTCCCACACACAGCACATTTGTAGGGCTTCTCTCCTGTGTTGATTCTCTGATGAATTTGCAGATGTAAGCTTTGACAGAAGTCTTCACCACACTCACCATTCCTACTGAATTTCTCTTCTGTGAGAACACTTTGATGAGTACAAAGCAGCGAGCTATAACTGATGCCATCCCCACACTCACTACACATATGAGATTTTGCTCCTAGGTGTAACTGCTGATGAAGTTCAAGAGTGGGGCCCAAACTGAAGCCTTGTCCATTCTCATGAGAATTCTGCTCTCCTGCATGAACTCCATTATGCTGAAATGATGTCTTCATGAAACATTTCCCACAATGCTTGTGGCTACATGACTTCTCACCTTTATGTACTTCCTGATCATCATCATGGTCATGAGAGGTCTTTTTAATATCACAACCATCACACTTACACAGTTTACATTTCCCATCAAACTGCGGACACCTACTCTGATAATTCTGTGACTCTCTCCAGAGATCCCAGGCGGTCTTACTTGGAAAATCTTGATTTTTTATACTATTGGCACTTTGAACTTCCCCTTGAACCTTTATTACATAGTTCTCATCTTCAGAAACCTGAGTAGATTCTGTTGCCCACAACTGGCAGAAGGAATCGCCTTGGATTGGCAAATCAGACCTCTTGCCTTGTAGATTTATTATCAAGTCTTGATTTCTGGTTAACTTACTCATGATTTGTTCCCATATTGGCCAGCACACAAGGTCTTCATGAAAAAGGTCCCTTAATCCAACTTGTTGAAGAGTCTCTATCTCATTTTGATTCCGGTATCCTAAAAGGATAAGAATTCGGAGATGAAAATGAGGAAAAATGAATATTTACTCAGAAATAAAAATATTTCACCAGTCAACCACACCGGGAGACCATATTCGATCAGCTTGGACTTTGTCATTGGCTTTTTCATGCCTATGAAAACAAAGAGGTGATGAGTAGGCTCCTAGCCACTCAGTGTTAAGGAGACTCACTTGGAACTATAACAAGACTTAACTATGAAGTCAAAATTAGAAATAGATAGCTACAGAGCAGGGAACTTCCTCAGCAAAAGTAAAAAGGACATATAATATTCAACTAGTGAACAACTGGAAAAAAATAGAAAACTCATTTCCATATCTTATGGGAGTAAAATTCCTAAGATAATTGTTGCCACTTAATTTGGCTGAATTTTATGATCAATGTGAATGGCTAATATTCTCTTCCAGGCTTTGTACATATGTATTTGTACATATGAGAAGGTGCTGTGGTAGCCAGCATACAGGATGGTCCCCAATGATTCTGCCTCCTGATGTCCATCTCCTATCAAATCCCTTCTCACAATGTACCAGGATTGATCTGTGAAGCCAATAGAATATGGCAGAAGTGAGAGTACATCACTTCCAAGGTTAGGTCATAGAAGACATTGTGGCTTCTGCCTTCCACTGTCTTGGGTGTAACCAGCTGGGGGGAACGAACTGCCATGTTTGGAAGATACTCGGGAGCTCAGTGGAGAGGCCCACTGGCAAGGCCTTCTCCCAACAATCAGGTGAACGAGTGCATCTTGGAAGCTGAAACTTTAGTCCCATTAAACCTTCCAAGGCCTGAAGCTCTGCTGGACTCCTTGACAGGTTTATGAGATTCTGACCCTTATCATCCAGATAAGCTGCCACGAGATTCCTGACTCACAGACATATAAATAAATGCTTATTGTGATAAACTGCTAAGTTTAAGAATAGCCCTAGCTGGTTTGGCTCAGTGAATAGAACGTTGGACTGTGGACTGGAAGGTCCTGGGTTCAATTCCAGACAAGGGCACATGCCCGGGTTGCGGGCTCAATCCCAGGTAGGGGGCGTGCAGGAGGCAGCTGATCAATGATACTCTCTCATCATTGATGTTTCTATCTCTCTCTCCCTTTCCCTTCCTCTCTGAAATCAATAAAAATATATTTTTAAAAATAAATAAATCCTGTAGAAATACTAATATCAATCAACATAAAAAACATTTCAGAGTAGTTATACAGGTCTAAGTAGCTAATACAAGTACCATAAAAATTATTGTTCATCAGAAGCATAATAATGTTCTTAAATAATCCCTAAGTCACACTGCTCTTTTCTCCCCTCGTGAGCTGTCTCCAGGAGTGAAGACAGTGAGATCCACCTAGCACCATTCTCAATGAGCTTTTGTTTACAAGAATTCTTATGAGAGAAGAAAGCCTTTGGTTTGTGCATTATTGCAGTGAAATTAGGCCTCTAGGACATTCCTCATAGATGGAGCAGGGCAACTAGATAGACACCAAAAAATGCAAAACCTTGTGATATTCTGATGTTGCCAAAAGGAACTTTTATAAGGGAGATGTGAGCAGAATATACTGTAAGATTCGTTCAACCTTCTGAGGAGTGGGAGTTACAGAGGTGCATCTATTTGTCAAAACTAATCAAATTGCATGCTTAGTATGTGCATCTGTAAATGTTACCTCAATAAAAAGAACTTACACAAATAAGAAGTCATTTCACTCCCTGAAAATTCATGTACATTTATAATCTGTGTTTTCTGTATATATTTCAATAAAATGTTGGCCCAAAATTAAAAAATAAAAGTAAAGACTTGTTTGAGAAGGCAAAGCAGCCCTGGCCAGGTATCTTAATTGGATAGAGCATTGCCCAATATGATCAGTTGCGAGTTCAATCCCTGGTCAGGGCACATACAAGAATCAACCAATGAATGCCTATATTAGTGGAACAACAAATCAATGTCTCTCTCTCTCTCACCCTTTCTCTCAAATCAATTAATTCTATATAATAAAAGCCTAATATGCAAATCGACCGAATGGCGGAACGACCGGTCACTATGATGCACACTGACCACCAGGGGGCAGACGCTCAATGTAGGAGCTGCCCCTAGCCCACAGGCCCCAGGCCAGCCAAGGCGGATGCCAGAGGGGGCCCCTGATCGCCCCGCCGGTTGCCCCACAGAGGGAGGTGACCAGCAGTGGTGGCAGGGGGCAAGGCGGGCAAACAGGCGGCGCCAGGCTGGCCAAGGCAGGTGTCAGCGGGGGCCCCCCGATCGCCCTGCCAATCACCCCACAGATCGGCCCTGATCACCGGCCAGGCCTAGGGAACTTACCTGTGCACGGATTTCATGCACCGGGCCTCTAGTCAATCAATAATAAAATAGAGTCTTCCTTTAAAAAAATAATTATTATTTTAAAAGGCAAAGCAGTTATAAAGCAAAACCAGACAACAGTTGTAACTGGAATGGTAATTCCAAGGTAGGTCTGTACAGAAAAATAAGGGAGCGAGTCAAATGGAGGCAGCATCTAACCTCCCTGACTGTGGGGAAACTTCTAGCAGCATGAAGACACAAGACCAGAAATGGCCGAAACCGGTTTGGCTCAGTGGATAGAGCGTCGGCCTGCGGACTGAAGGGTCCCGGGTTCGATTCCGGTCAAGGGCATGTACCTGGGTTGCGGGCACATCCCCAGTGGGAGATGTGCAGGAGGCAGCTGATCGATGTTTCTCTCTCGTCGATGTTTCTAACTCTCTATCTCTCTCCCTTCCTCTCTGTAAAAAATCAATAATAAAATATATATTTAAAAAAAAAAAAAAAAAAGACCAGAAATGATGAAAGGACTGAGAAGACTTTCCCCCACTACTCACCACAGGCAGGGCCTCGTCTATCAGATAAGCAGCTAGATTCTCTTGGTTCTTTTGCTTCTCTGATTTAGCTTTTTATTTTTGTGCTTATATCCAATAGGGATGACTGTAATTACTGTATTTAGGCTGGGCTTACTTGAGGGATACACAAAGTAAAATAAGTGAATGAAGAAGGGAGTGAAGAAGAGGGGGAAATGAGGAAAGGAAGGGAGGAGAGAGGAAGGTAGGCAGGGATGATGCCACCGGGTAAATGGATGGGGCACTGCTCACAATGGCAATGCAGAGAACGCACACAGGTTAAGAGAAGCTGTGGGGGAGCCTTTTCACTCACATTCAAATGGGACCGCCTACCCATTCATCCATTAATCCATTAATTCATCATTTAATCATTCATCAAACAAATAATTAATGAACATATCCTGTGAGTTAAGATACAATCCCTGATCTCCTGATGTTATACTCAAATGGGGAAAGAAAGACAATATACAAGTAAACAAAATATAATCCTTTAATATATCAGCAAGTAATTAATGACCAGTCACAAAATAAGACAGGGTAGGGGGCTGGGGATTTTAAGCAGAGTGCTCAGAACAGGCTTCTGAGATGAGATGACATCTGAGCAGACACGGATGAGTGAGGCAGGAGACAGGATGTATGGGGAGAACAAGGAAGAGCAAGAGAAAGGCCATGAGGTGGAGCAGTTGGCAGTCAGAGCCACAGCAAGCAGTCTTGTGTGGCTGGAAGGCTAAGGAAGGGAAATCCGGCCAGAGCGGGTGAGGGCGGCCGGGTCAGGCAGTGCCCTGCAGGCCACGGGAATTATTTCAGACTGTCTGAGTGAGATGGAAGTCATGCAAGAGTGAACAGACCAGTTACCTGATCTGACTGACCAGTTACGATCTGGCTGCTGTAGGAGAACAGACTACAGAAGGCAAAAGCAGAGGCAAGGAGGCAGTGAGAGAGCTGCTGTAAGTAAGCAGCGTAATGAATGATGGAGGCTTGGGCCAGGGTGGCGACCCTTCGGGGGAGAGAAGGAGAGCACCTGGGCCCAGGAAGGACTCAGCGGCCTGGCTGTCACCTGCACACCCGCCTCCTGAGGTTTCTGTCTCTATCATCGGAAGCTACTCTTCTCTCCCTCAGTGTAATTTCCTATCCAATTTGAAGGGTTGATATGCTATGAAAAATAAATGGCTTATATACAAGGGGATACACTAAAGGCAAAAACTTAATCCTTATCCAAAAAGGCAATACTACGATCCTTATGCATGCTAAATAGCATTTCTCCAAATTCTGATCCTGACTTGTTGCAATAAATACAACAGGCAGCCCTAGCTGGTTTGACTCAGTGGATGGAGTGTCGGCCTGCGGACTGAAGGGTCCCGGGTTTGATTCCGATCAAGGGCATATGCCCAGGTTGCGGGCTCAATCCCCAGTAGAGGGCGTGCAGGAGGCAGCCAATTGATGATTCCCTCTCATCATTGATGTTTCTATCTCTCTCTCTCCCTCTCCCTTCCTCTCTGAAATCAATAAAAATATATTTTAAAAAATACAGCAGGCAATCAAATGATCATCCTTTCCTGATTTACTCACAGTTTTGGTTATACTGTATGCAGTTCTGACAAAGAGCTATGCTGTCTTTATTCTACTTTGTTCAGTACAATAAAGATGTAACTCACCAACTGATTTTAAACCCCACCGTGATGTCAATACTGCAATTTGCAAAAAATAGGAAAAGTATAGACAGGATATCTCACAGGACTTAGGAAACTGAGATCCCAGGTTTGGGGACACATTTCAAGAGTCCCAAAGTCTTAAACATTTGAAATCAAAATACTCCTGGGAGCTGACATTCAGTGACAGAGGGCGCCTGTCCTCACCCACTGAGACCAGGTTCCGGAAGTTCTCCAGCATCACGTCCCGGTACAGCTCCCTCTGGGACGGGTCCAGCAGCCCCAGCTCCTCCTCCGTGAAGACCACAGCCACGTCCTGGAACGTCACTGCCTCCTACAACACCGAACACAGGAAACCTCAACGTTATGACCAATGGGCATGGGGAGAGGGCAGCACTGAGGGGCAGAGAGGATGGGGGGAAGTTGACCTGGATTCTGCCAGCCCTGAGTCTATTTTTTTAAAATAAATATATATAATATATATATATTTTAGTTTATAATTCTAATTTTGTTTGGTTTATTTATTTTATTTGTAATTTTTAATTAGTCGCTACCTAAGTTATTTCCCAGGAGAGAGCCAGAAGCTTACAGCTACCCACATAGCACCTGGGTTGCAAAAAGGGGCAGGGAGAGATACAAGACACAAGATAATATCAATAATCAAAGATAAATCAAGCCCAACCTTCCTACAATTCCAGGCAGATGCTGAGCTCCCCTGAAGGCTTAATACAGGAAAACGTGGCAGACAATGCACAAGCAGAAAGGTGCCTTCGGTGTCTTTAAACAGAGGTGTCAAATGGCCGTAGAGTCCAGCCCTGGAAACACTCAAGGTCCTGTGGGTAGGGGGTGGCCCAGCTAGATGCAGACTTAACTCACTGGGTATTCTTCAGCCACTTAGAAACACAAGATGTGAGACAAATCCCATAAACCTAAGAGGCCTGGGGAGGGGACAGGCAAGTTGATCCTAAACCAAAGATTGCACAGGCCAGACACAATAATACTAAAGTCACTCCCGTCAGTGCACAGGTTTTCCCAAATCCCAAACGCTTATTTCAAGTTGCAGTCTAGATGGCAAAATCCAATGGAATTTGAACAATTAAAATATATTTTATTGATTTTTTACAGAGAGGAAGGGAGAGGGATAGAGAGTCAGAAACATCGATCAGCTGCCTCCTGCACACCTCCTACTGGGGATGTGCCCGCAAGCAAGGTACATGCCCTTGACCGGAATTGAACCTGGGACCCTTGAGTCCGCAGGCCGACACTCTAGCCACTGAGCCAAACCGGTTAGGGCCTGCGTCTATTTTAAGGACCTTCCCCCTCTTCTCCATCCAGCATGTCAATTTCATACACTAGTTTTCCACAGCCCCTTCAAAAGTATGTGCAATTTACTCTCTTTGGTGTGGCTCAGTTGGTTGAACACCAGAAGGTCTCGGGTTCCATTTCTAGTGAGGGCGCATGCACAGGTTGCGGGCTCGATCCCCAGTAGGGGACTTGCAGGAGGCAACCGATTGATGCTTCTCTCTCACCCTCTCATTTCCTCTCTCTCTCTCAAAATAATAAAAACATATATGAAAAATTGTGCAATTAAGAATAATCCCTGTTTATTTCACTTGGTGTCATTTGTGAGCATTTCTACGTAAGCACCCTGGAACCGTAACTCTTCAATCGTGGGGGATATACATTTGGTTAGTACTACCAAATTGTTCCAGCAATGTTGGGTTAATTTGCTCCCAACAGGCTCTGATGGCTTTTATCTTTCCTTTCTCACTCACACATTCGCTAAGCCTGGGGCTTCTCACTTGGTTACAATTTAACAAACCAACAGGTCACCCTTCCTGAGGAGCAATGAAATTGGTCCTCTGTACTCTCAGG